CAATGCCTCAGTCATGGCGTCTAATGGCAGTAATAATCGTATATTTATGGCCGATCCGTACGAAATGCTTAATCCGTCGGTTATAAATCCAGGTTTAATTAAATAATCTATTAAAAAGCAATTATACCATTAATTAAATATGATTGTTATAGCATTTACGCCGATAATAGTGACGCATGCCATCACATTTTTGGTGGGAATAGTGGGCAATATATTAGTGATCGCCACCTGGTCTTTAAGGGGACGACTCCGGTCGCCGACGGCTGTATTCCTGGTCAGTTTGGCGGCCGCCGATCTGCTCCTCCTATTAGTGTTTGTGCCGTTGGAAACGTTGGAGTATTTCGTGATAAGTTGGGACACCGGAGGAAATATATGTAAAATGAGTTCTTATGTCGAAATGCTCTCAGGAATGGCTACCGTCTTAAATCTGGTGGCAGTCAGTATTGAGAGGTAATTATATTTACAATTTATCTCATAATTAAAGTCCGTAAGTGTTTACGTCGGCTCTGAGCCTGTATTGCAAAGAGTTAGAGACGTGTAAAATGAAATTCCCAGAAAAAAACAATTATCTTATTATATAATAAAGTGTTAAAAACACAACTGTTAAGTAAACGTTACTCAACACCAATTCAAACACTTATAGGTCTGTGAAAGACTTGTGTTAATATTTAATTTATTTTTGTTATATTTAATGTTTTAGCCATTTATACAAAATTTGTAGAAAAGATTCCTGATAAATGCATTAATGTAATTATTCCTAAATATCAGCATTATTGAATTGTGTAATAAGTCAGTATTGAAGAAAATCTCAAATTTAATAATTATTTTAAATGTTAACTATATATAGTAAAGATCATACAATCTATTCCAGTATTAATATATCCACTCTATTATACAGAGATTAATCTGAGTTTTGCAAAAGCCTTTGTGTGGGAATGAATTGTAAATAGAAAATCACAAAAAATAATATTCACCGAAATATAAGAGTCTAATTATAAAGTATAACGCTTTATATTCCTAGTATTAAGTCAAGTATTTATATAATATTAATAAAATAATTGGCAATAATTACAATAAAAATAAAGTTCATATATAATAAAAGCTAATAAATTAGACATTTAAAAAGCTTTTTATATTATAAAATCTTTTACTTATATTACATTTTATTTATAATTTAATTTTACTAACAAAAATCTCGCTATTTTATGTACAAAATTGTCCGAATAACCACTATCCGAATTAAATAAATAAATTAAATGCAATTAACACTAAAACATGATTTAAATGATAGATTTTTAGTGATAGTGTATCCAATCAAAGCGCGGTCGTGGTGTACAATGAGCTCAACGCGAAAGGGTTTGGTGTTTGTATGGAGTTTAGCCATTCTGTTGGCCACACCTGTTCTTCTCACTAAAGTAACAAAATGATGATTATTTTGTCAAATTTAATATAGAAATAACACAAACCATTTGATTGTAAACATAGAGTATATATTCCATGACTTATTACAACAATTCAACACAACTGACAGCTTATTATTGTTGGGATTCTGACGACGATCTGGCCTTTGCTGTCGCTGTCTATCAGTTACTCGTGATCAAACATAAAGGCCGGGAAAAATACGAATAAACGATAAAAGAACAATACGTTCTCGATACCTAATCGTTATTTAGGCAAGTAAGTTACTGTGTGAGTCTCAGAAAGTTTTTGTTCATTAAAATATATTATATCTTTCGTTTCTATTCTTATGATAAGAATCTTATTACATGTTATATTAAAACTACACTCAAATCCTATGCAAACTTAAGTGATTATGAGTTAGTTTTTATTTTCTATTAACAAATTACAAGAATATTTATATTTAAAGACTGATTGGTTTATTAACACATATAAAGCACATCACGAGGTGGTCGTCGTAAAGATTACATGATATGCTGGCCATCACTTCGACATAATAAACAAAATGTAGACAATATGTCGACTTTTAATTCACACTCAAATGCTTCCGATATAACAAGAGGTCGCAAACAGGTCTGTGACTAACATTTCAATAATTATACTGTTATATGTTTTTCAAAGAATATTATCGTATAAATAGTGTATTAAAATTAAACCTATGAAATGTGAAACATCCATTACATTTAATGTCTTACTATAAGAATTGGTGAATAATTTCAATTTAAAATCATGTAAACATCGGATACTCTTTATTATAATTACCAATAAGTCATTAAAACATGTAATTTTGGATAGTTTTAAATAAATTCAATTTTAAAGTCATTAATAATTTTCAAATTGTTTTAAGAAATTGTAATTAATGTTTGATAACTGATTAATTAGTAGAATTGATTTTGAAATTCAATTTAATTCTGAATTCATTAAATTGATGATCAAAAATGAAGTAAACAATATCTTCCATTAGATATGAATTGGGCTGAAAGTGATGGTAGGGCTGAACATAATATATCATTAATTATAGGAATAATACGATTAACTAACAATTTTATCAATCAGTTACTTAACTGTTTTAAGCCATACACTCGTCCACCACCCGGTGTCCTATACTGTAAATAAGGTTACGCTTACTATAATTATATTTAGTTAATGAAGTATATTATTATCTGTACTTTAAAAACAATCCATAACTCTATTTACTGTTAAAATTTATCAATCTCTTAGTTTCAAAAACTTTTGACAAACAAAATTCAATTTCGAGATCAATAATATAAGCGACAGATTATATAATTTTAAGCTCTAGTGATTGTGTGGACACAGAGAGAAAAGTCGTTTCATATGTATTGCTATTTGTTTTACTGAAACAACAAAATTTATTTCAAACGTTGAATATTTAATAAAGTCTTCCAAACAGACAGACAAACAAAATCTTCTCAAAAGTATAATTTATGAGAAAATCAATACTTTGTTTAAAGAAGAAAATATCGATAAATTTATTCAATAAATTGATTTAATAATCATTAATCATACTGTCATTAATCTATCTATTATTCATTGAATTTCCTCTTTAGTTATTAAGACATAATATACAAAACATTACATACTATACCAAGTTGTATATATAATGTCAATAATATAAAATAATTTTAGACATAACTCAAAGTATATTTCCCACAAAATAATTGCAAAAATTGTTTGATTACAGATTAGAATAAAAATCGATAGTTTAGTTATTTGAGAAATAAACAAGGTTTGGAAGCAAAGGGAAACACTAATCATGATTCTGGAAAAGCATTTAAATGTTTTAGTATTTTCATTGTTGTAAATTGTGATCTTATAAACTTTAATTTTCATTCAGAATTGAGATTAAAAATATGACATCTGGAAATTCTCGCATGAATTATATGAAAATCTTATGATTATGCTTTATATGTTGGGATTAATGTTTAATTAGTTATTATGAATACTATAAGTTATGCTATATTACTACATAATTAAAGTCCACTATTTCTACAACGATGACTAACATGACGAGAAGTACAACACAACCCCGGGTGCTGACCACTACTTACACAACTATTTCAATCCAGAGGTCTCAAACTCGCACTCGGCCTATACGGCCAGAATCGCGTGTTATTTGCTATCATTCATTCATTCGGCACTCAATCCCTTTGTTTACGGTCTTATGTCCAGTAATTTCCGGCGAATGGTTTGCCACTCGTGTTGTAAGAGAGGAAATCGGTTCGCAAACACATCCGAAAACTTTCAACTCAATCGCATGAATACATTCAACACTAACTCAACCAAAATTGCCAATAGCTTTGTTTAACACTTCATATCTATTGTATTGTATATAAACATGTTAATCAATAAAACACTAAAGCGTTTCAATTAAAACAATTGAGTGAATAAATAAAAAAATTGTGTTTGAATTTAATTTCCGTTTTTCTTTTATAATCCTCTTTTATAGATATAATGTAATTCATAAAAGTTCACAATAGATATCATGTATAAAGTATCAAAATGTGACATTTATCAAACATTTAATGTTTAATAGTAACTGAAGAATTGATAATTGAATTCATACTAAAAGAATCGGGCGAAGACAAGTGGTCAAAAACAATTTGAGCAAACAATTATTTTAATTTCCTTTAATCGCATTAATAATAATAATAATAATACTTAAGATAATACAAGTTAGTTTTACAACAATTTACAGTAGATCAATAATTTGTTTATTTTAATTTAATCTAATTTTATCGACCAAGTGTATTTCGAGCAAATGTTTTTCGATCAAGTTGGTTACGAGCGATGTGTGTTTTAAGCATGTGCCATAATTCCGTTAGCGACTGTAATTGTTTATTTCAAAAATGTTAACCATTGTAAATTAAATGCACTTATTATTTAACACAGCTGTTACTGTTAACTATTTTTCCGATGAGATGGCAAAACTATATTAACAATAAAATACAATATACAGAAAATTCCATACAAAATACACAATTATTTTTGAAAAAAATGCCAAAGAATTTTTATATTCACTGATTTTATTGTAAAAGTGATTATATTTTTAATGAATTTAATTTGTGATTTTATTATATTTAATACTCAAACTTGGGTTTGTTGTTAATAATAACTTATTACATGTACAGTGAAGTCAAATTAAAAAACTTTTCGTACCCCCAACACAGTAGCTGTAATTGCTATGCATTATGCAGTGTTTAACAGCAAAACATCTTTACAGTGACGAAAGGTGGATATTGGGGGTACGGAAGGTCTTTTAAATTGACTTCATTATATAATAAGTATTGAAATTAAACTGTAATCGCTTAGAGGCAATAATAATTATTGTTAAGTGTAAATGTAAATTAATTTAGTATGCTTTACAGTACTATTTATACAGCGGTACTATAATAGTAATATTGTAATTAAAAATTAAGTTAATTTGAAATAGTTAATTTTAATTAATAAATTTGCTAATTATTGTAACAATACATACTGTATAAACTCATAGAATATTTATTATTGTATTGACTTGATATTACTAATATAAATTATTACTTTTGTAATAAATATTTGTTAGTGATTAATCAATAAGATTTATTAAAACTAAATGTTTAAATTTATTTAAAATATAAATGTTATAAATATGAACATGATCAAATTGGAATCAGGTTATAAGAACTTTGCAATATTGTCTCATATAATAAAACTACATACATACCAAAATATAATAAAACTAATCAAAGTATTCGTAAGTAAAAACACATGAATTTTAATTGATATAAGCTCGTATCAAATCAGTTGTAAGTCGACTGACCAGATGTCACGGGATAACCTGGATTGTCAAGAATTGAAAAAGTATCTTTCAAAAATTACATTTTAATATTATACAAAGACGTTGACGACAACATCTAAATATTATTTTAAACTTTATTATAGGAATTCCAACATTTTATGGAAGAATTGCCCCAAAAATCCAGAATAACTCAAAAAGAACCTGGTCAATCTAAAGCAAGCTGAGCTAACTTTGATTTTATGGAAAATTTTTCCAATTTATAGGTCTGTTATTTATTTAATAGTTTAAATTTACGTTCAATTATCAAGATCCGTTTAAACAATTAAAGACATGTTTAGTTTTTCACATGAGATCATTAAATGTGATTTTTAAAAGTAGTATAAATTATGAACAGATCTCATGAATCTTTGTATCTCTTAGAAAGAGTTTACAAACAATTAAAATGTTTGAGAAATATATTGTGATTTTAGTGTTAACTTTAATTGTTTTGCTAAAACACACGGCAGGAGAATGCGGTTACAAGTCTTGCGAAAAGACTGACGCAAAGAAGTTAAACATTCACATCATATCTCACAGTCATGACGACGTCGGATGGCTTAAGACAGTGGATGGCTATTATACGGAAGACGTTTCGCACATCTTAACCAATGTTGTCAACTCTCTGGACAAGAATCCGAAGCGAAAGTTCACAGAAGTGGAGACCTATTACTTCAACAGGTGGTGGTCTGAGCAGAATAATGAGACCCGAGATTTAGTCCACAAACTGGTCAGTTCTGGTCAATTGGGTTTCGCTAACGGAGGCTATACTGTCAACGACGAGGGATCGGCTCATTATAATGAGATCATCGATCAGATGACACTCGGTCTCAAAATTTTGGACAATTATAAACCGTTTACGCCAGCAGGAAACTAAAGCACCGTTTAGCTAGGCAAGCCGCGTAGGTTTCTCTACCGTAGGGAAATGCGCGTTTACCCAAAGCTACCGGTGCAGAAGTTATCTCCACAATAGCCGAAAGGAGAGTTCATTTGGGGCGGAAGTGCTGACTTGGGACAGAGCGCTAACATTTTTACCACAATCCTTCACAACCATTACAGCGCTCCCGATTCGATGGCCACGTCTTCAATAGAGGTGTTATCCCGAAAGGAGAGTTCATTTGGGGCGGAAGTGCTGACTTGGGACAGAGCGCTAACATTTTCACCACAATCCTTCACAACCATTACAGCGCTCCCGAGGGGTTTGACTTCGAAACCGGTATTTAAACTAAAACTATATTTAGTATTTTGATTGTTTTATTAAATAAATGTTGTAAAACTGTTTTAAATGTTTACAGGAAATGATATAAACGATAAAAATAAGAAACAAAAGGCCGACACAATTGTCTCGTTAGCCAAACAATGGAACAAAGACTTTGGGGACACAAACCATGTGCTCATGACTTTCGGCGATGACTTTAAATACAATAACGCCGAACACTATTTCGCAAATTTGGACAAATTAGCCAATGCTGTCAATGAGTTTCACCCCGATGTACACATGTTTTATTCAAACCCCATGTGTTACTTATGGTCTGTCAATCAATTAAACCGTACATTTGAATACCGAGAGAGGGATTACTTTCCTCTGTGGTCGGGATTCTTCACGAGCAGACCATCGCTGAAACGTCAGGAAAGATCGACAAACAATTTGTTACAAATCAGTAAACAATTGGATTCAATGACCCGAATCCCAGAGTCTGAGCCTTTTCTGAATGAAGCCATGAATGAGGTGTCTGTACTGACACATCACGACGCTATTACCGGTACTTCCCCTCAGAAAACTATCGACGATTACATACTAAGACTTTTTAGCGCTTCCGACGCTTTGCAAGAAGTAACTAATCGGATGTACCGAAAGCTGATACCTAAACAAGAGTTAGATATTAGTCTTCCTAAACAAATAATTTGCGACAGACTTAACATAAGTGAATGTCATGTTTCTGAGACATCAAATGAGTTTACGCTCGTTGTCTACAATCCTATCGGACGGCCGGTCTCTCAATGGCTAAGAATTCCGATCCCTTCTAATAGTAATTATGAAGTGTTTGATAGCAATGGCAATAAAGTCAGTGATTTACATATCGTTCCCATCTCTGAGAGAGTGATGCAAATTCCTGGCAGAAGTGGATCCGCAAAATTTGAATTGGTTTTCAAAGCAAATCTTGAAAAACTTGGTTTCGTTACGTATTTTATTAAAAAGTCGAGTAAGAAATTTACATCAATGACAGTCAATAGAGTAAACGGTTTTAATATTCAATTGTTTTTTTAGACAAACCTATTGATGCAAACAATCCTAAGGAAGAAAATACAAAATCAAACGGAGAATTGAAAGGAAAAGGATTTACATTAAGTTTAGACCAAAAGACAGGAAATATTGAAAAGGTTAAAATGGTTAACGGAAATGAGTTCCCATTGAAACAATCGTTCAAATTTTATAAATCAAATCATGACTCGAGTTATGACTTCTGCTCCGAAGGACAGGCAGTCGATATAAATAGAGATTCTGTTAAATTAGAGAAAATTTATAGCAATGGATCCGTTAGTGAAGTGCAACAGAAATGGAATGATTGGATATCACAGACCATTCGGGTTTATGAAGACGAAGAATATGTGGAAATCGATTGGACTGTTGGGCCGATTCCTGTCGGTGACAATATTGGCAAAGAAGTTATCGTTGTATTCGATACTAATCTACAAAATAATAAAGAATTTTATACCGACGCTAACGGCAGACAAAATGTAAGAATTAAATCAATTCTTGAAAATTCAAATTATTTATATATTTATACTTTTAGGTAAAAAGAATCCGAAATTCACATCAAAAAGATTGCGGAAAATTCAAAGAATCGATTTCTGATAATTATTATCCAATTTATGAGAGAATATTACTAAAAGATAGCGCAAAGGGAATGCAATTAACGGTATTGACTGATAGAGCACAGGGAGGGTCGAGTGAAATGGACGGACAAATAGAGCTTATGGTTCACAGAAGACTATTAACTGATACGCGAACGAGTCTTAACGAGACGGGTGTCGATGGGAAAGGTCTGGTTGTCAGCGGAAAGCACTTCATATTCTTTAAACCAATTAATGAATCGTCAAAACTGTTTCGCGATTTGGATCAACGATTATTTATGTCTCCATTGATTACATTCTCGCCGTTAACTCAAACTCAAGCCGAATATCGGAATAAATATAAGACATCTTATTCTGCATTAAATCAAGAATTGCCACAAAATGTCCATTTATTGACATTAGAAAAGTGGACACAAAATGAACTGCTCTTACGTTTAGAGCATTTTTACCAAAAGGAAGACAACAATGAACTCTCAAAAGACGTCGAAATAGATTTGAAAAATATGTTTAAAGACATTAAGATTAAAGACGTCAGAGAAATGACTTTAAGCGCAAATCAAGAGCTCTCAGAATCGCAAAAGAGTCGCTTACAGTGGAAATCCAAAAACCCTTTGAATAACATTCAATTCAATTCCAACCAACACTTCAATGACATTTCTAAAGTCAAGTTGAGTTCACAACAGATCCGGACATTCATTCTGACCATTGAAGACAATACAAAGAAAGGTAATAATCCTTTAATGTTAATTAAAACTATAAATAAAATCACAAGAAATAACTAAAATAACTTTATGAATAGTGAATTGTTCTCTTGAATGGATCAAAATAACGGGAACTAAAATACCAAAGAATGCAATCGTTGGCGGTTTCGATATCGACACAAAGCCGTTGTATATTTGTAGACATAAACGCGACGACGATTTACTCCCCGGAAAGGCTAATGAAAACATAGGATGTGTTGTAACGATGGGAGGGAAGGCCTTCTCAACCAAATCCGATTATGAGGTACTGATCGGACATAATTACGATTGGGTGGAAAGGCATGGCGGAGATGCTGTGCCCGACCGGGCGTTCATCGGCGGACACGACTTGAACTCCAATCCTATTTATGTGGGAAAATGTGATTTACATTTTGGCAAAACCGAGACACAAGTTGTCGGCAAAATTCACCACAAATTTTACTACGGATTCGGAGATACAGAGCGCTCCGACTGTGCAAACCATATGGTTATGGTTTGCTAATCAACTTATTTAAACTGATTCTGTACTATAATTACAAACTTTAAACAAATTAAAAACTTTTAATTACATGATTTAGTTTTAAATAATCTAAATTATAAAAATAAAGTAAAACATTTCATTAACTTGCAATTAAAATGATTTATAAAATGCAAAACATTTATGTGTTAATCATATAAATGAATAAATAATTTAAATAAATATAACATTTTGTGAATAAATGAATTGAATGTTTGAATTGAGAGCCAATTATAGGACAACCAATGAATGAGTGTTTGAATGACAAGTGTTTACAAAGACTCAAACAAAACACAACACAACAACTGTTTACGTATCACTGTTTGTCTCATCACCACAACTGATCCAATAGTGTCCACAACTGGCCAATCATGTGTTCGCAGTCGCAACTGAACGCGAGTCAAGAGTTACAAGAGATGGACAACGAGTCGACATCAGTGGAGACAATGGACGGCGAGAGGGATGGGAAGAGGAGGCGTCTGTTTGGGAAGGAGCTGAGGTGTATGATGTATGGCTTCGGCGACGACCACAACCCCTTCACCGAAGCGGTCGATATGCTCGAAGACCTCGTCATTCAATTCATTCAAGACATTTCACTCAAAGCCCAAGACGTGGGCAAAAATGGCAAGATTTCGGTCGAAGATGTGTTGCATTGCGTGAAACGCGATGAGAGAAAGTACTGCAGAGTTCGCGACCTCTTGTCCATGAATGAGGAGCTCAAGAAAGCCCGGATCAAGACGTGGGCAAAAATGGCAAGATTTCGGTCGAAGATGTGTTGCATTGCGTGAAACGCGATGAGAGAAAGTACTGCAGAGTTCGCGACCTCTTGTCCATGAATGAGGAGCTCAAGAAAGCCCGGAAGGCCTTCGACGAGATCAAGTATGTGTCCAACGCCTGACCACAACCATCGCCCGACCCTCCACTCCGTCCGCCACCGACGACCAGCTTATGGTCTCTCCTGTACTTGATTTTCACGTCTAATCATTACATGTGATAATTAATTGCCTTAAAATGGGATCAAAACAAATAAAATGAGTGATTATTGTAACAAAATATTGTTTTTTATTGATTTATAATTGAATACAAATTGTTTGAACGAAATATGCGTTAAGTGTTAAGTGATTGCAATAAACCATTGAATTGAACCCCAATTTGGATGAAGTAATGGATAGTAAATAGTAATGAATTCATTATTTAAAGATAATTAGGAATTATTCATAATAAATGACTACTTAATAGGAAACCAATTGAAAGACAATATAATAATTGAATCACTTTTTATACCACTTTTATTATGCCATTTGAATTAACTTATCGACCGGTCTATTGAATGTTAATATTGTATTTGTTTTAACATTCATTACAAACTATAATGAAATTGTGTTACAAAATAATAAGTTTTGATTAAAGCTTTCATTTTCAGTACAAAAACGGATTATTATTTATAAATTAATTAAACATAATATTGTGTGAAATGAATGAATACAATGAAACAAATTGTTGATCTACTTTGGATCTAATCTCATGAGTAACTCTAATACGGTATTCAAGACTAACAATAAATTGAAATAAGTTATCATTATTTTCAGCTAAACAAATGCAATAGTTTTTAAATTAGTATAAATTATAATGAAATGTGTTTGTAATGAGTTATATTAAATTTAAATATTGTGTTTAAACATTATTTCTTGTCGACTAAAGTAATCAAAGTATGAGAAAACATAAACACTTTTCCCTTTAAAATATAAGTTCGTTTCTAATCATAAAAATATATATAATTTATGTTAAAATATAGGATTATCTCAACATTTGAGACATTTATTTCAATCGGAATGTATTTGAAGGTAAGCTTCGGTTCCCAACAGTATATTAAGAAATACATAATATTGTAAAAAACTAAATGTATAACATTTGGCAACCTTTTCGTAACCCGTTTCCAACTCCAGTGCTTCAACACTTACCGCTCACCATAAGTATAACAAACAAACTAAAAGCCATCAATAATACCATAGGCTTCAAGACTCGACACCACAACATATATGATCCAAAGAGAGACAAAGAGTATAGTTGTCGGCAATTTATAAATCATAGGACCGCCTAACTCTCCGCCCACAGCCGGTGTCCGCCTCGCGAGTAAAACTGCGGCGCAAACGAAGGCCGATATGCAGAAGAGTGTGACAGAAAAGCTGAGACTTCCCGGAGACACTTCAAACCCTCCCGGCGTTCCCTTGAATGCGTGATACACCGCCGCTATCGTCCACGCGATCCCTATTCCCAGGAATACATTCACGGCATTACTTCCCGTCACGTTTCCGATCGAAGAGTCCGCGTATTTGTCGTTCAGTGCCGCTATTTTGGAGGCAAACGTGTCGGGAACTGATGTCCCCAAAGCGACCAGCGATATGGCGGTCACCGAGTCTTTCAAACCAATAGTACAGCCGAAATGCGAGGCCAAGTCGTTAATGACAGCCGTTAATAAGCCAATCATTATAATAGAGACCACAAAACACGCCCAACCGTTCCACAGGTTCGGCGGCGGAACGCAAGCGAAAAGTATTTTCCAGAATAGAGTCAAATAATGGAGAATATAAGCGAAAATGGATCTCTTCTTAACCACTTGGACATCGCCTTCGTCTCCGGCATCGGGTTGTGAGGCGAGAGACGGCACTCTCACCGCTTCGATGAACTGTCCCTCCCATGAAGACGTACTGATCGCCGAAATAGTCTTCTTCTGTCGCATCAACTTATCGACTGTCGCCCTAAAGTCTCGACTCTCGCGGACTCTAACCGTGCATTTGACGAGTTCTCCGAGTCGTGGCGCCCCCTTATCTTCGCCAAAACTCTTGTGGTACTCATTACGATAGGGTTCTCCGATCTCCACATAGAACGACACATTCTTCTCGTAGTTATCGGTATTAAGGATATTAAGAATGATATCCTTATGAGTTTCGTTGTCTGCAAATTCAATCTTCGAGTCAATCATCTGGAAATCAACGCCTGGTTTCGCAGTTCCGGCGCTCAACTTATAAGGAAGCGTTATATGACCTCTCGCTCCACAAAAACGCGATACTCTTAAGTGGTAGTGACCGACACTTTCGGGTATTTGTATCATATTGTTCGTGAAGGAGAAGACACCGCTGTGGTCGTCGTCCAAAATGGTCACTTTGGCCTCCGCTTCAGTGATTACTATATTGGGCCGAACGCTCTCATCAGCAACCGGTGCCATATATCGGGCCTCTGAGAGCCTAACGTAGAAATACTCGTCCTCTTCGAAGATGTCGTCATTAATGATCTTAATGGAGATCTGTTGGTGTTGTTCTCCGGGACCGAACGATAACAACCCGTTCACAGCCTCGTAATCGGAGCCACATTTAGCCGATCCGTCTTCAGTGTTATAGTCGACAAGAATAGTGGACTCGATATCACCCGAACGGCTCACAGTTAACTGAAATACACCAATATTTTCGAGTACTGTATACTCTTTGGGATTAAAGAAGATCTTAATTTTGTCGTCTTTCTCGTCATCGGAAGTGTCGAAGTCTTCGTTAATCGACTTAATGAAGTGGTCCTTCACTTTTTCGCCAACGTTTCCCATTATTCTTCGCGCCGCTTGTATGCGATAATAGGCTTTGCTTTTTGGCTGATTCTTCTGCAACTCTTTGGTCGCCATTTCGACCAATTCTTCATTAGAAGCGTTGGGATTATTAGACTTGAATCGGCGCAAAATGTCGACAATCTCTTCCCTATGGTCTTCAATCTGTTGGAGATCGTCATCACTGGCATCGATATACTGTTCGCAAACATACAATTAAGTGACAAATATGTGACCAAACGATAGGAAATACCTTAACGTCTCCCTTGAGCTCCACATCATTCACTTTGATTTTGACTCCATTGGCGTCCACTGAAGTCAACTCCAAGTTGTCAGTCTCGGAGGGGTCGGCGCCCGCGTAGACCACTCGACGACCCCTTTTCATGCGATACCTTTTGTCCAAATACTTATATATGAGAAGCCGTTTGTCGGCAATGAATGCCAACAACACAGTGATCGGGAAGAAGAGGAATGTGAGGAACGCCTCCCAGACTTCGATAACACCGGGTGTCGACCAAACGAGGATATATAGCAACCAGATGTAGGCGAACACCGAGAAGACCATTGTTATGCAGAACACACGCAAGTGTTTGATCTTTTTGGGAGCATTGGTGGGAACGACCCAAACGCAGATCGCGATTATGACAAACATGTTGAAGGCGGCCGAACCCACAATAGTTCCCGGACCCAAATCACCCGCTCTGAAGCCATTGGCGCAGATCTCGATCACTGACAACAGTATCTCCGGCGCCGAAGAGCCCAAAGCCATGAGAGTTAGATTAGAGACCGTTTCGTTCCAAATCCTGACCGATATTATCTCCTTCTCTCCGTTCGGCTTTCGGACGATTACGTCCTGTTCTTGAGATGTGATCTGTTCTATGGCTGCCATAAATCGGTCCGCAATGATAGCGACGCCGACAAAGATATAGATGAGGGCCACGAAGTATACGATACCGTGAAATATGATGAGTCCTGTGCTGTCATAATGCGGCCAAAACGGCAGAAACAGACCGTCCGGACAGTTACGGCTCAATACATCATTCAAACTCGAGGCCAACGATAGGTTACCGACTTCTCCATAACTCTCGTTACCCTTCAGATAATCGGTGTAACCAATGATACCACTCGTCGAAGCGGTCGATGGCAACCAAGAAGTGCTCTCTTTACCCAAACTGGCGATCGTCTCGTTTTCGGTCATTTTGTGGCCAACCTTTCGGTCAAATTATGTCGAAAACCAAATCGACGATCAATTTTGAAAATAACGCCCAAATTGTGTGCCTTTTGTGTTGAAATGCATTCAAAAACCAAAACAATAATAATTATTGCTATAATTTGTTGACAACTTTTTGACGTTCACTATAAACACATTCACATGTTTTGAGTGTTCAATAAATCACAAAATTAGCTGTAATTGTGATGAATGTGTTATATGTGTTACTCGTTGTTGTAATGAGTGATATATTTGTCCAAAAGATGTGATTAACAAAAGTGTTTGCAATCAATGAACACAACAATAGGTTTGAGGCGTTTGTCGTCACAACACGTGCTTTACATGCAATTCAATGGCTTTCACTTCACTTCTTATACACTTCTTGTATAACTTTTTCTAAGCGTTGAGTTTGTGCTAAAGTTTGTGCTAAACGTTAGACTCGTATTGTATGCCGTGATTGCAATTGTCTTAGCATTTGATTGACACTCCTTTTTATAGACTTCTCTCTCCCGGTCTCGCAGTTAATGAGTTATTAATACATTAAATGTATGCAATGTTTATTGCAATAGTTTAAAAGTCGATTCCCAGACAATGCATCACATCTACGGAACATTAAAAGAGATGACAATTAAATGTTGAGTCAGTAATAGGTATAGCAATAGCAATATAAAGCGATTGAATGCCAAAATATCGTGTGAAACAAAACACTTTTGCCCTTTTTGTTAATTTATTATTAAATACATGATATTTTATTTATTCACTTTCAATAAACATCTATTTCATTTTAGGTTATTGACGATGTGCGTGAGTTACATGAACACCAAATATAACCATGTTAGTTATATTTGTACATGTTTTAGCTGCAAAACTTTTGGCTCAAAATAAATTGATAGCAAATTTATCTATACATTTGCAAAATAGACAGGCATTTAGTTTACTATAGTTTTAGACCCATTTTCTGCTGAATAAACAAATAAAGAGACTTTTATATCGTTTGTAATGTTATATCCGAAGCATAAATGAAAATAAAAGTTTGGAGAAATTAAATTCACTTTTCATTTCAGTCCATGACATAGATTCTCACTAATGTATGAATGAATTAATGA